TCGGAATGCATCAAAAGATACCAAGTGATCCAACTTGTTTGTCCCCATGGCATCTTAAAAGGGTCGACGCCCAGTGGGGTCTTACCAACTGGAAAGACTTCGCTTCGGAATGGTGTAAGATGTGGCAGAGGCGTCACCGCTATGTCTTGCAATTCCCGGTTTTCCTTAATCATGGTAATATGCGACACACAGATCAATATTTATCTTGGTACATGTCGGTTAGTAACCCTGAAATGCATGTGTCTCATCCAAGGTACTTGGTTGACCCACGCACACAATGGGCACAACCCTCGTTTCCCCAACAACAAACCCAAAACCCATCAACCTGCCACTAACCCCCAAGAAGAAACAGAACCACAAACACCCAACCACAGTCCCCACCACAACACAATTACACTCAAATGCCCCACAACCAACCACAATCACCACCTCACTACCAATACCCCGATATGCCTCACACCCAACCACAATACCAATCACAATACCAACACACCCGCATACCCCACACACAATTTCAGTCTTCCGTATATCCCAATATGGACCCCTCAACATCCAGCCTTAGCCCTGATATGGGAATGTCAGAAGATTACGAACAAACCGACCCAGCCTACCATCAACCACAATATCACCAAACCACCCAACATCCTCAATACAAAACACCCCAAGATCTATTTTCTTTCTACCCACCGTACTCAAACGATCAATGCTACATACCCACCATGGAACCCCACCCACCGCCAACACGACCAAACTTTGAGGGTATGGGTAACCGACTGTACCAAAGAGGATCTTCTAAATATGGAGATCTGACTGATTTTATGGATCTGGACCGCATTGACTTCGCTGGGCCATCGACCCTGCCGCAACAGGAAACGCGACGACACCCAGCACGGGAAAGGCGAGGACGGGGATGCGGAACCGGGGGTCATTACCGGGTTCCGGGGGATCACTGATTTATCTGTTTTTTTTATCTGTTTTTTTATCTGTTTTTTTATCTGTTTTTTTAATGTAATACAGTTGGATGTAATTTTTTTTAAAATAAAAAGTCCATTTTGTTGATCCTGTATCCAATACGCAACGCACCGGACAAAAAAAAAAATCAAATTTTGTCCTAAAAATATACATAGGCGCCATCTCACTTGGCTTAGGACATGCCCTAAGCACATAGACGCCAAGTGAGATGACGCCTCCCCTTAAAAAATGGAAGTAGGCGCCAAGTGAGATGGCTCCTCCTTTGAGGAGTCATCTGAAACATGGTTATTTGCGTAATTTTTTCTGAAACGCGGTTATTTGTGAAAAAAAATTTTAATACTTGATTATTCCAAAAAAAAAATTCTAAAATGTACCGAAGAACATTATTTATCATTTTCTTCTCCATGCAATTGAGCTTGCAGGTTTAGAAAAAGTTGTTTTGACTTTTTGCAAAAAGTTACTCCCTCTTATCTAAATTATAAGTCTATCGTAGCATTTCACATAAATTAAAAAACATAAATATTAATTTTATATAGGAAAAAATTATGTATAATTTTATGATATTATCATTAATTAATTATAGAAAAAAGATAAATTAAGAGAATTGAAAAAAGAAAGAGTAATAAATAATTGATAATATATTAAAAAAAATTATTAATATTATATGGTGAGGTCTTGACTATTCTTTTAAAATTGGAGATAATTTATTTTAAATAATGTATATAATAAAATTTTGTCACATGAAATAAATTTTTAAAATCAAATATTAATCTAAAATATTAAGGCATTGGTACGTGTCTTCTCTCCCTTATAAAGTATTTAACATTATCTTATCCAATCACTACAAGAAAAAAGTCCTTTAACTAGAGGATTAACTCCTCACTGAGGCAAAAAAACACTTTACAAAATCAACATTTTGTAGATAAGTGGTGAGGAGCTAAGCACCTAGCCAATTAGCAAGCGACATTAGGTGGGTTTACCCCAAACTAAAAACCAAAATTTATTTTTTAAATTATAAATGTAAATATTTAGTTTTCTTATTATTATTATATTTATAATCAATGAATTTCATTATTATAATTTAATAAAATAAAAAATTTAATATAAATAATATTAGTAATATATTTTAAAATATAATATAATTTATAATTAATATTATATTAATAAAATACTGAATTAAAATTAAAATATACAAGAATATTATTTATAATTATAAATAAAAGTGTTATTGATAAAGATTAATTTTCTTCGTCGATGTTATTGTCTTCATTGTCATTTGACCTTGATTATCACGTCCTCCAAATTGTTGCATAAATTATTGAAAAATACGTATAGATTCCTCATATTCTCTAGTTTTTCTTCTCATTTCTTCCTCTATTTCTCTTTGTCTCTTCTTCAATTCTTCTATTTCAGCATTTCTCGCTTCCACTTCACGGGCAGTCTCAAAGTGCGCTAATAATCTCACAGTTTCCATCATGTCTGGGGTAAGTGAAGATTGAGTCGATGATCTCACAATTTTCTAAAATAACTAAGTATACTATTTATAAACTAAATATACTGTTTTTTTTATTTATATAAATTAAATATATTTTATTTAAACTAAATATTTACTAAATATACTAAATATTTAAATTAGATATAAATTAAATATACTGTTTTTTCTATAAACTAAATATAATATATCTAGATTAACTAAATATTTATTATATTTTATAAAAACTAAATATACTTTTTTTAAATATAAATTAAATATATAATATTTTTCAAAATAACTAAGTATACTATTTATAATCTAAATAAACTGTTTTTTTATATAAATTAAATATATTATATTTTATTTAAACTAAATATTTATTAAATATATTAAATATTTAAATTAGATATAAGTTAAATATATTGTTCTGTTTATAAACTAAATATACTATTATTTAGATTAACTAAATATTTATTATATTTTATATAAATTAAATATACTTTTTTTTATATAAATTCAATATAATATTTTCCAAAATAACTAAGTATATCATTTATAATCTAAATAAACGGTTTTTTTTATATAAATTAAATATATTATGTTTTATTTAAATTAAATATTTATTAAATATACTAAATAATTAAATTAGATATAAACTAAATATATTGTTTTTTCTATAAACTAAATATATTATTATTTATATTAATTAAATATTTGTTATTTTTTATATAAACTAAATATATGTTTTTATATAAACTATTTTTATGATATATAATATATAGTATATAAACTATTTAATATAACTAAATATATAAACTGTTTTAATATAATGAAATATATAATATATAATATATTTTTGCAATAAAAAATATAATATATAAACTGTTTTAATATATTATTTAATATAATAAAATATATAATATATAATATAGATAAAAAATATATATATATATATAACGTATTTTTAGAATAACAATTAACTTAATATATAATATATATAAACTAAATTTAACATACCTAATTATATCAATTAAATCTAATACATACCTAAACCAGTTTAATTTACCTAAATCTAACATATATCTCAGAAAAAATTTCAATAAAAAATAAAATAAATTATATACCTTATAAAGAAGCTTTATTAAACAAAACTAGTGTTGATGGAGAAAAATATAATAAATACCTACGAATTTAATCCAACGAAAATTAGAATTTATAAATTAATATAACAATATATATCTTAAATAACATATAGAAATAATTTATTACCTTTGAAATAAAAAAAATAAAGCTTCCAAATAGAGTAAAATGTAGTATTAATGGAGAAAAAAATGAAGGAGAAAAGAAAATTGAGAGAGTTGCAGAAGAAGAAATTGAGAGAGACCGGAAGAAAAATTGTAAAACGAAAGAGAAACAAGAAGTTATAATACGTAGTTGACAAACGGTACTAAACTTGACTTGGGACTAGCTCCTCGCTAGCTGCCAAACGGTACCAAACTTGACTTGGACTAGCTCCTCGTTAGCTGCCAACAACTGTTGTCACACTACAACACGCAAGTCGGTTCAGAAATGAAGCAGAGCAGGATGTGATGTGAAAGTGGATTTGGGGTTAACCCCTCACAAAAGTTCAATTTTTTTGGCGAGGTGATCACCTCTCGCAAATGACCAACGACTATTATGTATGGTGAGGTGATGCCCCTTCGCTAAATGTTTTTCCTTTTTCCCATGTGTCACCCCCTTGTAAGAAGCGTCCAACAAATTTATTTTCAAATTCCCTCCTAAAATTTAGTTACGGGGGAGCTCTTAGCCACACCAAATTTTAAACCTTCTTTTTTTATGTTATTTAGATAGGAGATTACCACAAGCTAATGATAAATTTAGTTAGGGGCTTAACCCCTAGCTATTTGCCCAAGTTAAATCAGCTTTTTCTTATAGTGAACCAATATAAAAATTATTATTTACATTTGACATATCAATATCTTACTACTCAAAGATAAATTATATATTCTTTCTTTAATTTAATTTTGATTTTTTAAAGTTTTATATTAATATAAAATTTTAAAATTTTATTTTATGTGACAAGGCTTTATTGTTACAAATTATCTTCAACTTTTCAACTTTAGAAGAGGTAGGTAAGAATTTATCATATTATATTGAAATTGAAAATTGATCATAATTTGAGACAAATTTTATTTTTACAAGTGACTTATATTATTTTTACAAAGTGATTAATAATGGTGTATTTGCTGATTAACAAAATGAAAATGCTGAACCAACTATGCCATGTCGGTTTTGTCAAAGTTTTATTATGTATATGATGTGGCAAGGTGTGGCTTAAAGCTTGACACCTATAGAAATGGTCCTACAACATATCCTCTAAGAACAATTATGTATCACGCTTTATAAACGTGCTAAATACAACACAACCAATAATGTTTGGACAACAATATTTGTCTACGTACTTAAAAATAACCACCACCTTTCATTTCTCACATGCATTAGCCATATCAAGAAAACCCTTATCACTAACCTTATTCACATTATTATTACTACCATGTTTTCTTTAAGACTCTCCATTCCATTAGAGAAAACTCTAATAACATATTCTACACCAAACACAACCAGTAACTCTAATTCTAACTATTACACTCATCGAAGTTTTCTTCCATATTCTTGGAAACCCGTTACTAAACGCAGCACAAACTCCACGGCATTTAAGGATGAGATGAAAGGAGAAAGTTTTGTGGACGAAGAATTTTCCAAATTGGAACCATTGCCGGGAGAGCTGCAGGCGGAGATGATGCCAAAGCATGTGGCGGTGATTATGGATGGGAATGGGAGGTGGGCAAAGAAAAAAGGCTTACCGGTGTCTGCCGGTCACGTTGCCGGTGTGAAGTCGTTGAAAACGGTGGTGAAGCTATGTTATAGTTGGGGAATAAAAGTTCTCTCCATTTTCGCGTTTTCTACAGATAACTGGAATCGGCCCAAGGTCAGTTGGTTATACTTACTTCAGTTTCACTTTGATTATTAACATTGTTGATGCTGAGTTTTGTTAACGCTGCAGCTGGAAGTTGAATTCTTATTTACACTCTTTGAAAGATCAATACTTTCTCAATTTGAAGAATGCAAGAGGTACCAATACTCTCTAAATAAAACTATTAGAAATCAATTTACTCTGTCTTCAATAAAGTGATGTTATTTCTGTAAGCATGTAACTGTTAGTTTGATATATAGGGAAGGAATTAAAATATCAGTGATTGGAGATACATCAAAGCTCCCCAATTCTTTGCAAAGAATGATAACTAATGCTGAAGAGAATACAAAGAAGAATTCGAAATTTCAACTTATTATTGCAGTTAACTATGGTGGAAAATATGATGTAGTCCAAGCATGTAAAAGTATAGTCAAGAAAGTGAAAGATGAAGTTATTCTTTTAGAAGATATTGATGAAAATATATTTGAAAAGGAGTTGGAGACAAACTGCACCGAGTTTCCTTACCCGGATTTACTTATCCGAACAAGTGGAGAACTTAGAGTTAGTAATTTCTTGCTATGGCAATTGGCATACACTGAATTTTGCTTTGATAACAAACTTTGGCCAGATTTTGGGAAGGATGAGTTTATAGAGGCCTTAATATCATTTCAACGTAGACACAGACGTTATGGTGGAAGATATTAATTAGTTCGTAACCATTTAATTTCTATTCTCGTAGAGGTGATATATTGTATATGACAAATTTACAAATATATATCTAAAGTGTACAGTTTCTTATTGTACACTTGCAGAAAAAATAAATTGTTTTTTTTTAAAATGTGCTTGTGAATATCTGGTATTCGATCGAATTTATTTAAATGTCTAAATTATATAGAAATAAATGTGTGCAAAATTTATTTTATTATGGGCCGGTAGTAAGCAATGTAATTTTTCTGTAACTCTGAAATTACCATTTATTATGTAATTATCAAAGTTTTGGTACTTATAGAAAGTGATAAGGTTTGGAAGCTTAAGACTCTAGAGTGTATGAAAATTTTGAGAATTTATTTCATCTCATGCTTTAAAGAAAGACTTTACTTCATTTTTAAAATATTTTTATGAAATTAGAAATATATTTCTGATATACACTTTTTTTTTAATTACGAAATTTGCTGTGGAAATTTTGCAATTTCCTCAGAAAATATGTTACTTGAGAATTCTTTTGCCAATATTTGAAAAAATATATATTTTATGTATTTTTATTCGATTTTTAAAAATCAATACCTAATTTTTACTTTTTCACCATATTTTTCAAAATATGTAATATATGTAAGGATGACATCCTATTTTTATAGGTATTTTTAACTTTTATATTGTTTGATTTTTTTCTGCAGAAATTTGCTGAATTTGGGTAGGAAATATGTTACGGGTCTACGGATTTTTTTGCCGATATTGGAATGAGTACATTTTATGAAATGTTATCTAATTTTTTTAAAACAGGTACTTTACTTTTTTTTATATCGCATTTTTTAAAATATTTAATAGAGAAGCAAATTTTTTACTTTTTAATTTTACGTATTTCTACCGAATTCTTAGTTATAACTATTAATTTTTTTATATCTTAGAGTAAAGTTATTGTGTGAAGAATATAATAACTTGTTTACCTAGTTCAATCAAACGATTTATTTTAAGGGAGATAGAATTTCTCTCATTCACTACACTTCGAAGAATACTTACAAAAAATTACAAATGAATTACACGAAAATAGTCCCTAAAATCCCCAAGAATAAATCTTATTTTCTGTCATAGTTTCTCAAACTCTCTATATATGAATCGCACAAGCCTAAAGTGTTTACACATATTTTTCAATTCCCTTAGATACTCCAAAGGTTTACCTTAACCCTTTGCTCTCTAAATTTTCCCATACTAGAATTTCACTTCTTCCACCTGTCTTCAGTTATAAAGTTTTGAAGGTTGTGAAGACAAGAAAGACGAAAATACATATTTATAACTGTTGAAACTCAACAAATTCATAACAAGTAAAAAAATACAACTCATTGTCGAACAGATCCACGAACCAAAACAAATAAACCTAATACATGTGGATTGAGAAAATTAGACAAGATGAAAAAAATCAAATTGTCATAGGCCAACCCGATCATCAGTCGACGCTCCCAGAGCTCCACTGGCCAGAGTCCAATGATCATCGTTCATCTCTAGCGATTCTGACGCAATCATCGCCATATCGTCTCCTTGTGGTTCTGGCGCCTTATGTTAGTTTCTTGACTGCTTTTACAACATCCTGATATCTGAAATCTCAAAATATGTTTCATTTCTCTTAGTCATTTAAGGTTATAAGGCATATTCAACAACTTTGTGACAAGGCACGGTTTTGTGGTTAAATTCATAATATGGTGATGTATGTTGATTCTATTTATTTATTTTGTTGCATACTCTTTCCAAAATTATTTTAAAAAGTTGTTTGTATCAAAGAATTTTTAATTGAATTATTTTTCAAAGCAACACAATTCACTCCTCCCTTGTGTTTTAAGTCACTTGTTCAATAATACAAGAAAGGTTGGTGGTGTTCCTATATGTTCTTTGACCAACCATAAAAAAAGTATATTTGAAAATATAGTCGAAAGCAAGAACGCTAACTATGATTAAACTCAAGAGTTAGTAGAGGTAGAATGGAGATCGCGTTAAAATGAAAGTTATTTTTGGGGTATTTATAGGGTTTGAAGGTGGTAGAAATTTAATAGTCTAGGTAGTAAAATTAATATAGTAGAAATTTGTGAAATGGCTAATGCATGTAAAGGCTTAAGGGACATGAAGATTTTGTATGGGTACTACATAGCATGTGTCAATGTTATTAGCACATATGTATGATTTAAAAGCATGCATCAATTTTATTGTCGCTTATGTTGCTTTTTAAGAGCATATGTCAGTGTTATTGATGTTCTTAATTAAAGCAGACAATGCATGTACTAATAGCATTGGTAGTCTTATTAAAAGAAGATCTTTGAACTTTGACCATCAAATACCACATTATCTTGACCAATTTTTTAATAAAATAAGAGAACATGATCTTGAAGACTTGACATCTTATCTGCAATAAACAACAAGCACAAGTCAGTATACCAAGGAAAAGAAGAGAACACAGGAACATGGTAAAAGAAAAATATAGCTACCTAAGAGCACTATAGCCTCCACGATAGTTTTACACTCAAGGAGCTATTTGGTGTTGATGTGTCAACCTTTGTAAATAGGTTGGCGCTTACCGTCGAGGATCACCTCCACATTCTCGGTCTCCCACCGAGCAGGAGCCAAACCGTCAACAAACTTAAAAATTTTACCATAGGACTCTTCGTCTGTAGAGTCTAAGTCACCGGGCCTGGTGATATAATAATGTGTGCCCTTCTTGAAATGACCCTCACTCTAATGGAGAGGAAACTTCGAGACCAATTATGTATCCTCTACCCCATTACTTACTAGATCACACAATTATAGTTCGAATCGACCAACCCGTAAAATAGATACTCGGAAGTCCCGCCATGGAGGGTGTTATACCCCAAAATTTGCCCTTTCACTTATCAAGATTTGCTCACAAGATCTCCTTTGGCTCAAGACTGCACTAGGGTTAATCAGCTCAAGACACCTCCTTAAGCACTGATGACCAAAATTATGGTTTGAGATTGCACAAGGATATTTGAACTTCCAATGCCCCATATTACTTTCATGAATCATTATGGACCCTCAAGATTACTCATGTCAATTTTCAAGCTTTGGATCACACTTTTGCTCAGTCAATTGAGCAGTTAACCTAAAAATCAGTTGTATTGGGGAAAAAGTCAACTATGGCCAATTTACAGTCAAAACTTCATAATTTTTTATCCACATAAACATTTTAAACTCATATGTATCATTTTATCAAGTTTGGACCATAATTCCTCAAGAAATTTGATCAAATCTTCAAAAGAGCAAAATGGTCAAAATTAGGGTTTTTACTGGAAAATGGCAATTTCTGATTTTTGACCTAGCAATTGATCAATTGGTTTAAGGAATGATCTCAAGAGTACAATTGCATCATTTTGACCTAATGACATGGCTCAAAATATTGCTCAATTCCAATGGATTGACAGATAAATTTTCAGTCAACTAATCAAAAGTCAACTGTATACTGAAAAGTCAAACTTTAACTTTTTTGGTCAAATTCAATGTTAAAGATTACAATTCATCAAAACATGTCAAAATATGAAACTTATTCATCAAGAAATCAAAAAGTCAAGATTTCATTTTGAAAAGTCAAATTTTTCTAACTTAGAAATTTTTCTGTGTTTAAACTTCATGTTTTTTCATAACTTTAAGCCAATTTTTTACCATGATGCAAGATTATTCAAAAGAAACTTCCAACATGAAAGTTGTATATCTCCATAAAATATACAACTTTTCTTTACACAACTCCTTCCAAAAGTTCTTGGATCTCAAGTTATAATTTTAAGAATACATGGTCATGAAACAAAACACTTAGTAAAATTTTGCCCTAATTTGGTCAGGATTTTGACCCGACTTCATGGCACTTTTTCATATAGTTCCAAGGGGAATCTTAAAAATTAATTCAAAGATGGATCGTAGAGCATATTTCAAGATTTCCAAAATATCCAAGAACTACTTGAGATCATTTTTGAGTAGGGAGAATCGAAGAGATGAAGTTAGGGTTTTATCACTTGAATTACAAGTCCTTTTATGATGAACAAATTCAAATTTCTAAGTTATGCTGCATAACCTCTACTTTGCAGGCCTCAAACTTGTTAGGCACTACATAATTAATTGCTTGCACATCTGTTAGAGGTCTCATTTCAAGCATTCAATGCAAAGCCATGCTTTATATCCATTTTGGGAAGAAAGTGCACAATGTCATTTTGATAAAGTGACTTTTTGCACAAAACTTGTTCTTGAACCTTGCACTTGTTCTTTTCTGACCATACATGTCTCTTAACACAAGAGAAATGGTTTAGACACTTACAATCAACCAGCCCATGCTTGTACTTCCCCTTTAAACTTGTTTTTCCACTTTTCTTCAAAATCAAGTAACCTAGCAATTAGCTTAAAACTTGTACTTCTGACTGGCCAAACCACTCAAGACTCTTTGCTTATACATACACAAGCCATTTGCCACAAATCAGACGCATGCTTGACCCCTAAAAAACACCAAGAGCTCAGAATTGCATCACATCTCCCTCGTGCGTTTTCAAGCCTTTTGGTTCATAAAGTTTCTAAACATCATTTAGAACTCATCCCACATCCTGTTACAAGACTGTAACACCATTAACATCATCCTCCATTTTCAAAAACAGAGCTTTGCACTTGGACTTCTCCAGAACTCCTCAGGCACTTTCAGCTCAAGCCAAGCATCCCATTAGCTTCCTGGGAACTTGAGGAAGCTAACCCAATCATTGGAACTTACTGAAAGATGCTCAAACTCCAAACCCGGTACCCTCATGCAAGGTAAGTTTCCTGACTTTGGAACTCTTCATACAGGCATCATCAATGATTTATTTGTGAATGAAAAATGTAGATATCATTGCCCTAAAGTTAACCATGTCCATAGTTTTCATTAATTTTTCTTGAGCTTAGAGAATTTTAAGATTGAAGTTTCTGAGATTTTTAGGGTTCAGATTAGGGCTATTAAAATTCATGCTTAT